AAACTACACACTATTGTATTCTATAGTGATACAACTACACACTATTGTATACTATAGTGATACAACTACACATATTGCATACTATAGTGATACAATTACACACATTGCATACTATAGTGATACAACAACACACTATTGTATACCATAGTGATACAACTACACAATATTGTATACTATAGTGATACAACTACACACTATTGTATACTATAGTGATACAACTACACACTATTGTATACTATAGTGATACAACTACACAATATTGTATACTAAAGAGATAAAACTACACACATTGTATACTATAGTGATACAACTACACACATTGTATACTATGCTACACACTATTGTATACTATAGTGATACAACTACACACTTTTGTATACCATAGCGATACAACTACACACTATTGTATACTATAGTGATACAACTACACACTATTGTATACTATAGTGATACAACTNATTGTATACTATAGTGATACAACTACACAATATTGTATACTATAGTGATACAACTATACACTATTTTATACTATAGTGATACAAATACACACATTGTATACTATAGTGACACGACTACACACTATTGTATAATATAGTGATACAACTACACAATTGCATACTATAGTGATACAATTACACATTATTGTATACTATAGTGATACAACTACACACATTGTATACTATAGTGATACAACTACACACTATTGTATACTATAATGATACAACTACACACATTGTATACTATAGTGATACAACTACACAATATTGTATACTATAGTGATACAACTACATATTATTGTATACTATAGTGATACAACTACACACTATTGCGCTAGGTATTACAGTTTCTGTGTTGTAGTATTCAAGCAATATATATGTGGCGCTATAGAATGAGACGTAAGATACACCGACCCATAACAAGCGGAACTTTCAACAACCAGCACACACATACACGCGACCTCACACATATGAAGGTACTAAGAGGGATCACATGGTAAGACGCGCTTGAGTAAGGCGACTCTTGTACATTAATCACTTGAATGCTAAGTACATTTCGGTGAGATTAGGTAAGAAGCTTTGAATATGTTATATAATAAGTGAGCCTTGTATTGAGAAGGACATGCTCATTGAACTATATCAGGATGTAAACATGTACTATATATATATACGCAAGCCACAGGGAAATATCAAGCTCGGGTTTACTTCCGGAAGTACACATTTCCGACCCATATCCACATGACGAACAGCGTATGACTAGGAATTTATAAAACAACGGAGCCCTCTCACTGGCAGTCGATATACGGCGTACATCCTTTATTACTGACCTTAACATGTAAGACCCTACATGAGTTACATGGTTTTAACATGTAGAAGATTTTGATGTTTGAAACGCATTACAATTCATTTTTACTAGCAAAATCCGAGAATTAATTTTAGCATTCTTTTTATTGTACCAACTCAAAAGCCATGGAGCGGTCTCGAGATGTTCTACCGTACAATTAGCTAACAACAGATGATGGCCACAACGCAGGCAATACACGGGAATGTCTCGGACACATCTTTTTCCCAAAGTGGGTATGATTTGGAAGTTTATGACAACGGGCACTTTTACGGCATCCATCTTTCGGCGTTGCTTTGCATCCTGATCAGTTTTCTGTGTGCAGTGACTGTTACCATCGCATCCTTTACAAAGCGAAAGACCAATTTTTTCACATGGTCGAAGAGTGACCGTTTCGTCGTGTACATTGCTATTTGCGATAGCCTCTTCAACATCGCACATAGTTTAGACCACACCCATGTACTCGTTACTAAATCTCATGTCAAGCCCAAACAACTCTGTGCCTTTTATGGATTTATTTTGTCCGAATTTTTGAGCGCACAAATTTTCATGATCAACTTGGTAGCCATCAATGCGTTTTGCTTAATGTTTTTCAACAAGGATATTCCATTTGGAAAGTGGGACCATCGTCTATTAATATGGACTTTCGGAGCACCTCTCCTTGCTTCTATAGTTGCAGTGTCTTTGAACCAGTTCGGGCCGAACACAGTCTTGTAAGTAATTTTTTTTTACTTTTCTTTAAAACCAGCAGAACCAACTTGAGAATTAAAATCTGAAGAAAACGTGTTCAATGGTGAAATTAATTACTATAGTACCTTCTCTGCACCCCTGTGATACTTCATAACGAAATCGAAGGCTCTACGCGCCACCTTCAAAATCATGTAAATAGCTAACTGATAAAGCCTTTGATTTTGTCATGACATATTCCATGGGTTCAGAGAACGTGTGTGAGCCTAAACCCTGCAGTTACGAGAATGGGCATATTGGGACCATACATTTGGCATAACAGGTGAAAACCCAGTTCAATAACACCAGATTGCGTATTTCATATGTTTGTTACTTATAATAATAAAGGAAATTTGGATTTTGTTCAATTTGCTCAACAAAAATAGGAGAGAATCGGTGATATTCAAGTGATTCATCTATAATTATAACGGAGAGTTGCTTGGTATGACCAAATTCAGAAAACCGCTGTAAAGAATTGATATTTCCCCGTAATAAGTTTCAATTACAAACTAGCTAAACGATATTTTGTTATTTCTGAGCTGAACCTAAAGCTATAATGGTCGATATTTTGTTATTTCTGAGCTGAACCTAAAGCTATAATGGTCGATATTTTGTTATTTCTGAGCTGAACCTAAAGCTATAATGGTCGATATTTTGTTATTTCTGAGCTGAACCTAAAGCTATAATGGTCGATATTTTGTTATTTCTGAGCTGAACCTAAAGCTATAATGGTCGATATTTTGTTATTTCTGAGCTGAACCTAAAGCTATAATGGTCGATATTTTGTTATTTCTGAGCTGAACCTAAAGCTATAATGGTCGATATTTTGTTATTTCTGAGCTGAACCTAAAGCTATAATGGTCGATATTTTGTTATTTCTGAGCTGAACCTAAAGCTATAATGGTCGATATTTTGTTATTTCTGAGCTGAACCTAAAGCTATAATGGTCGATATTTTGTTATTTCTGAGCTGAACCTAAAGCTATAATGGTCGATATTTTGTTATTTCTGAGCTGAACCTAAAGCTATAATGGTCGATATTTTGTTATTTCTGAGCTGAACCTAAAGCTATAATGGTCGATATTTTGTTATTTCTGAGCTGAACCTAAAGCTATAATGGTCGATATTTTGTTATTTCTGAGCTGAACCTAAAGCTATAATGGTCGATATTTTGTTATTTCTGAGCTGAACCTAAAGCTATAATGGTCGATATTTTGTTATTTCTGAGCTGAACCTAAAGCTATAATGGTCGATATTTTGTTATTTCTGAGCTGAACCTAAAGCTATAATGGTCGATATTTTGTTCCTTGCAGTTGTTTCATGGACGCCATTAGGGGAAAGCTGATGAACACAGTCTACCTGACCATTCCATTGCTGATCGTCTTCTCGGTCAATTTGGTGTTGTACGGACTGACTTACTGGCGACTTAAAGTGGGAGCTACGAAGTTCAAAGGCTCCAGAATGTCGTCTCGGACCAGGCGCGTGGCGAGAAACATGATTTTGTTTCTCCTGGCGTTTTTTGTTCAGTATTGGGCCGCAGCTCTGTTCGGCGCGTACCAGTTGTTCACTGATGATATTCCCACCGTCATCTATTACTTTCTGACAACATTCACGAATATTGGCGGATTTCTGAACGGGTTGGTATACATCGTCATACGTCGTCGGTTCCTCCATCGAGACAAAAGCGGCGAAAAGACATCTGTAGACAGGCTTAACAGGTCGGGCGATGCAAGTCCTAGCGCAATGAGACATATCAAGATTAAGAAACAGGAGGGAGACATCGTGAAGTCAAAGGACAACATACTTTCGCCTGAATCTTCTTCTACGATTCATCAACATGAAGAAGTGTAGATATGTATTATAACAGTTGTAGCAACAGACATGTATCTGCCGACACTTGTAGTAATCACAGGGACCTGATGATTCCTTACAACTATACATGTATGTGAACCTAAACGGAGAGGTTCACAGTAATTTTACACGTTTTCGGGGTTAGATCCATTTTCGGTAAACATTATGCCATCATCGGCACAGACTTCCCCCCGAAAATGGAACTAAACCCCAAGAACGTGTAACATTACACTGAACATCTCAGTTAAGGTCGTAATATAGCTGTAAAGAATGTTCACGTCCCTGTAGTAGGCATGTAAATGACTTAGGTTAAAGTCATCCTGTCCGCTTTCCTGAAACAGGCTGCAGTTGTTAAAGAACATAATTGTATTACATCAGTTGTTAAAGAACATACTTGTATTACATCAGTTGTTAAAGAACATAATTGTATTGTTAAACAATTATATTGTGCCTTTATAGATTTTAAAAAGACTTTTGATAGTGTTTGGAGAATAGGCTTTTGGAACAAACTTTTGGTTAATTTATTACAAATATGTACAATGACATTAAGGCTATAGTGATGAAAGATGGCGTATTCTCGAATGTATTCCCATGTAGTTCTGGGGTCCGGCAAGGCGATAATCTTTCCCCGTTTTTATTTTCACTTTTTCTTAATGATTTAGAAGATTTTATGAAATCACGTTACTGTAAGGTCTGTCTAATATAAACGACCAGCTAGAGGAGGAATTACATGTATTACTGAAGCTTTATGAATTTTAAAGAATTCCCGATGGCCTTGATTTTACATACAACGGTACTGTTATAGGAATAGCTAAGGATTTTAAATACATTGGGGTTTATTTTACTAAAACTGGTTTGACACAGTTCAATATTAAACAACTGTATGGTAAAGGTTTAAAAGCAATGTATGGTGCTATTTCAAAAATGTAGGGATCATAATTTGTCAATAGATTGTCAATTTGATATATTTGACAAAGCCATCAAACCTGTTGTTTTATATGGATGTGGAGTTTGGGGTTTCTGTAACTATGAACTTATCGAACGTTTACATTTAAAATTTTGCGAACACATATGTAATGTTAAAACGTCAAAACGAACTTTATGATATACGGAGAACATGGAAAGTTTCCGCTAGATATTAATGTCAAAGTAAGAATGGTCGGCTTTTGGGCTAAATTGACAAAAAACAACCAGAATAAATTAAGTAATAAACTGTTAGCAATTTTATCAAATGAATCATCATGGCGAAAATATGAGAAAAGTATTTTTGAAGAATGCAGTCTGATACATATATTTAATAGTCAAGAGTTTCCAAGTATACATTGGCTAAAGAGTACCATATTTTATAAACTAAAAAGAAAATTTATATCAAACTGGAGGAATGAAATTTATACTTCTCCTAAAGGAATCAATTATAAAATATATAAATACGAACTTTGTTTAGAAAAGTACTTACTAGAACTCCCTCCGATTCTCAATAGTATGCATAAACATATGTCCAGATATTGTGAAAAACCAAACACATTTAAATATCATACATTATTCAATTATGTAACACAACATGAATTGACATCATTGGCTAAATTTATTACCGATATTAATTACATAATTAATTTACAATACTAATGTCCATCCTGTTCCAACATGTATTATTGTCACCTATTTGTATATATGTATTCTCGACACTGTATTGTTGATGAGAACAATTGTTATTGTCATTGTATTCACCCTACAACCCTTACTCCAACCGCCACCATTCCCAACCTGTTCACCAGCATTGCCTGGTAGTAGACAATTCTGTAATCTGCTTACTCTCCAGCATTGCCTGGCAGTAGACAATTCTGTAATCTGCTTACTCTGAAACTCGTACGTTGAAGGTTTGCTCGTTGTTAACAGGCCTCCACGTGATCAATAATTATGTTAAGATTACCATTGGTCAGTTTTATTTAGTTACTTGTTAGTCGCATGTTGCTTAAGTGACGAATTCGATATGAAACACATCTCTAGGTGCATTTTACTGAATTACAGTTAATAGAAATTTCAGTATTAGAATAAAAACATAACAAAAATGGAATTTCCAGGAGTTTGGACCTTTCTGCTGAGGTATTACACTTTATCAATGTTGTTATCAAGGGATTGTAAATGTGCAGTGTCAAAGTGAAATATTAGCACTTTATTGCAAAGCGAAGTAGCTTTGAGCCAGATGGGTTTTTTTAAATTTATTTTAGGCGTTGCTTTGTTGATCAAAAGTCAGTTTATCCGCTAGGACTCCGGTGGCTCACCATTGTATATCATACCTTGTATCAACCATGTATCAACCCGAAATCCTGATGTAGGTTATGGAAATGGTAATTTTTAACATCTCTATCATTTTCACTAAACATTGTAATCATTTAAGCACATTATCAAATTGTTAGCAATAGCACAATTGAGTGTAATAGAAAAAGATGATTTGATATTGTATTTGACCGGTAAGGAGCCTTCCGGTATATCGTGAACAGTAATATTACCCATCAAGAAAATTGTGTATATACTGTATTAACCAGATAACTATAGTGACTCTGCAGTGGATATAGATACGTCTCTGGCATTCATGAATAAATCAATATAGTTCATAAATAAAATAGCCTAGGTCGAAAAATTATTAATAGTGTGACTATTTTTGTTTTTATGTTTAATCAATTTTAGTATAAAGTAATTAGAGAGCTGTTTTCACAGCTTATAGAGACGTATAGTTTAAATTATAACAATAGTAATGGCCAAAGCAAACAGGAATTATCAAATATCGTGAAAAAAAACCATTTGGGATGGGACAGGGTGAGTCAAATTCGGTTCAAATTTACTACATAACAGAAAAGCATACAGGAGTTACCCTCAAACTCTGTGTAACCAACCGACATTTCTTTCTTCTTTGTGTAAACTGTAAGTCTCCTGCTGAAATAGATATTAATCGAGGTATTAAATTCAAATCGAGGTATTAATCACCAAGGATGAGATAAGATGTCAATATAACTACTATACCTAAACCTTAGATAGCAGAATGACTATCCCGGACGAGGTCACATCCGGGTGAGGATGTTCTGTCTACTAAGATCACAGGGGTCAGACACGTCACTATAGTTATACTGAATCACTTTGTCATTTCACGGAAATTGCCATGTGTGACTACGACCCTCGGCTCACAGGCTTCTGTTGGTACTAACGTGACCCCAGTTGTTGTTATAACACGACATAGGAACGTACCATCAGGTTGCACCTGTCAATTCACCCCACCCCTGTTCCCCCAACCTCACCTACCTACCTTACCAGCTTTATTTGTCTCTTCGATCTTTGCACGGAGAGTGCCTTTGAGACGAAATATATATACACAACATGTGTATAATATTTTACAAACGTTAATAAAATGTTTAAAAAGAACTTAGCTAGGTTGTTTTTTTGCATTTCATACCGGTTTATCCATAGCATAAACGATGTACAGAATTATAACAAATGTTACACATTGACACATACAAGATGAAATAAATAAATAAATAAATATATAAATAAATAAAAATATCGATTCAATATGCTCACTTCAAGTTATAGAGTATACACCAATAACACCCAGTTGAAATATTAGGAGACCAAAGCCTACTGATGTCGGTATACATATTTTTGACTCTGAACTACGAACAAGGGGAGGTAACTCGTGTCGTGTTCTCATACTCAAAACAGACATTATAGTCAACTTCACAATGCCCGGATGGATATATTAACAGAAGCTTCAAAAAAAAAAAAAAAA